GCTAAAAAATAATAATTATCATTCATTAGTAAAATATGATAATAATCTAAATAAAGATATGTAGTTAATATTTCTAATGGTAGATACCTCGAGATTTGTCACCATTATCGTTTTCAAATGGGACAAACCTAATTCGAATGTAGACTCAAGCTTGGTCCATCTATTACAATGTGAGAGATAAAATAAAGTAAAACTAACTTGAAACAAAAAATTCAAAGATTAAAAAAAAAATATTTCTTTTGGAAGCTTAGGATAAAAAAGAAAATTAAAAAAAAAAAAACAAAGACAAACTTGGAGAGTATGAATGTAAAATAGTATTGATAAGTAGTAGACGATCTATGCTTAATTACTAAAGGTGCAATCAATGCCTATTATTGCTAGGGATTTAGGGTTTGCTTTAGACTTTGGTAGGTGAAAGAGTGGAAGAGAGATTGAGATAAAGAATGAAAAAGATAAGAATAAGAATGAAAGAGTTTGATGGTGTTGTGGAGGTGGTTACGACAATGCAAGATGAGTGCAAAAGATAAGATGAAAGGAGGAGTCTGGTGTAAGTGGCCGTGTAGAGAAAGAACAAAAATGAATGGAAATTGTCAAATTAGGGATTAGATTTTTAAGAATAAAAAGAAAAGACAAAAGTGTCTTACATTACATATTAAGGTTTTACTATTTTAGTCAAAATGGTATAGTTTTAGTTTAATAGTTAGGTTAATTGGATGACTTATTTGTGTTATAAACGTGCTATTTATATTTGTTAGCACAATACATGATTAACTAATTAGTCTTCTTAAACATGTAACACAAATAAGACATGAAACACGACACATGTAATGTCACGAAATATGATTATAGAAAACACTTACACAGTTTATTACATGTTGTTTTCGTATCATGTCATTGTATCGTATTTAATTGTCAAGTCTAGTCAGAGTATAGGTTGAGGATAGGTCAAGCATAGGTCAGCTTCTTTGTTTACAACACAAAACATTGCCATTTTAAGTTGCTTTAAATACCAAAATCTTTTTTTTTCTTGTTTATTCTTGTTTTTCTCTAACTTCTCTCTAGATCTTACCAAAATCTTCAAATCAATTTTAGAAGCCCTCGTAAACTCCAGATTCGATTGCCACCTCTGTCGTACAATGCCACTGGAGTTTATAAAGGTTCTAGAATTGATTTGAACCTTCTTTGTCACCTTTCATAGTTAGAATTCCTAAAAAAATTAACCTAAAAGTCTAGATCTATGTTTGAAAGTAAAACTTGTTGCCACTATTCTAACTCTTCTCTGTTGCTCACACAACCTTGGACCATTGAATCTTCTTCATATTGTTTATCTCTAACCAAACCATCCTAAGCACCAAGAAAATTCTTCCCAAAACAAAACCCAACCTAAAACCCTAAAAAAAACAAATTAACTAATTTTTGTTTATTGAGTTTGTTGTGGTTGTGTTTTTCTTTTGTCATTTATGTGAATGGTGGCTATATGATTGTGTGTGTTTGATGATTATGGGTTGGGTATGCTTGTTGGGTATAGGTGATTGCTTTCAGGTTTGATGTGTTTGCAAGGTTTTTTGCTTGTGATTGTGTTTATTGTATTTTATGTTTTTTACTATTTTTTGGCAACTCTATTTTCTCCCATTTTGGTAAACCCAAATAGGAACCCTAAAAAACTATAACCAAATTTTTCTATGAAATTGCTTCCCCTAAAAGATTTTCTGAAATTGTTGTTTTATGGGGACTTAGTCTCAAATTCAAAAGAGTTCTCAATCAAAACTATCTCTACTTCTTGTAGTTTTATTAGAACTTGTGCCTTCAAGGGATTCAATCCCACAAAAACTCAAAAATTTCAATTTGACTCAATTTGGAACTCTCCCAAGAATTTTACAAATTTTTTTTTGTTTCAATTTCTATGATTTTTTTGCTATTTTCTTATTTTCCTCAAAAATAAATAAATGAATAAAAAAAATAAACTAAAGGTTAAAATAAAAATAAAAATGGTCCACACACTTAGATTGGATTTAAAATCCATAGCAAGTCAATTAATCCAACTAAACCTGCAATGAGCACATGGTTAAAAAATAATTTCAGACTAAATTAGCTGACCCAACTAAGAACCTTTATTCTTATTAATGGACCGAAATTTCAAAAGTAAACTCATGACTTAAAAGTAATTCAAAAGATCCTGAATAAAATGGGTTGTTTACGCACTTATATAAAATGCCATGGACTTGCACTTAAATCTTAAAATTTCAAATCTATTCCAAATCATGGTTGAACATGCCTTTCTTGATTATTGTATGAATTTTATGAATTTAATCAATATTCAACAAGTTCTTAATTTTAAGGTGCAATATCATCAATTTTGCATAAAGTACACACCTCCACTCTAAAATTCTCCAAGAATTCCAAGATTTATCAAGAACACTTAAGAATCATTCAAAAATTTTCCAAATGTATCAAGAACCCAGCAAGATTGCTCAAGATTTTCCAAAAATCACCAAGATTTACTAAGAAGCAATCTTTTCTTTTCAAAATTTCCTAAATAGGCAAATTAAGTGCATTAAAAGTAAAAGATCATTATTTCACTATGAATAACACAAAATTAACTCATTTAAGCACAAAAAATAATTATATTTTATAAAGTTATCAACAGTTTTGTATTGGTAGATACTATGCGTTAGAAAGGAGGAGGAAATCTAGTCACTTATTTATATATAGTAAAATCCTAATAGTTTTTTATAAATAATTTGTTGGGTTAAAACTTACTCGCCAAACCAATCTAATCGAATAAGTGTGCAACGCTCATACCATAATCGATCACAATTAAGTTAATTGGACTCTCTAACATATTTCATATTAGAATTAAATTATTAACCTAATTTATTAAATCATAAAACTACCAATTTATAATAGCCCACATAATGAAAAATTCTAAAAGTTTTCTATGGTCGGATTGAATGCATAAATCATTGTGTAATGTCAAACACTACTCTTCGCTGAAATCAGTAGAAGTGAAGCACACTGTTAAAACCGGATGAGGTTTGCTAGTCATAGGAAGAATGGCCTTGTGAATTTTATCAACATTGAAACATAAATAACCATCCAAATATGTAGAGGATCTTGTTATACTGATCTATTAGGTGTGTGACCTCAGTTCTTGTACGAAAGGCCTAAATCAATATACATTTTGCTCTATTTTAAGCCCAAAAAAAAAATATTTTGGAATAAATTAAGCCAAAAAAAGTAAATTATTATAAAAGAAGTGAATTACCTTTGAAACAAAAAGCGTTTGGGCAGTCGTCGGCACAACTATTTTATTCAAGGTTTTATGTGTAGTAGACATTTCGTATATGTTTTTAAATGAAGACCTAAAATTCCTATAGAACCACAGCTTCAAATATGCATTTGCATATGATACAGCCTGAAAACACAGCTGGCAATGGCTTACCTAACAACTTAGTTAACAGCTTAATTTGAGTAGGTGAAAACCGTGAAAGGTACTATATGTATATATATTAAACATGGTACCAGGAAACAGTCTGTCATTTCGGTTTTTTTTTTCCCCCCAATTGTCAATGCTTCAAGTAATAATTTTAACTTCCCAAAACTATAAGTAGACCACTCAATTGTCGATATCATATGTATATATATATATATATTCATATGTTTTGATTATTTATGTAGTTGTTATAAAACCTTTCCAACTTTTACTCGAAATTAGAGTTTCAAAACAAAGATATTAATGCTCGTGGGGCTTGACAACGAACTAGGCCTGAGTCATCATCGAGGGCGATGCACTGCGTATCATCGAAAGGCTACAATCCAAGGAACCAAATCTTTCCCCAACAGTAGTGGTCATTGATGAGGCAAGAGCAAAACTGGAGTGGTTTCGAGAGTATAAAGTTTCACACATAGTCAGAAACAGCAATAATGCAGGGCACAGATTGGCCAAAGATGCCTTGGGTTCGGTTGAGGATAGGATTTGGGTAGAGGATTGTCCAGATATTATTTCTCATATTATTCAGTCTGATTGTAACCTGTCATTTTCTTAAATGAATTATCAGTTTGCTTAAAACCAAATATTTAATTCAATTTTATTATGCTTCAGTTTATATAGCATATAAGTTTATTAGATTTAAATCCCACTAACTATGCAAGTTTTGTCATTTTTTATTGCATATGAATTTTGTCTAGTTCTAGTTGGTTAATTTGTTTTATTGGTTTTCTCTTGTCGTGTCTTTTATATTTCTATAGATATATAATTATATATATTTCTATAGATATATAATTATATAATTTTTAAAGTTTGTTAGATGTAATTATAATTTCTATCGCATTAAGAAATAGTATAACATCATATTTGCTCTTTTATATATATATATATATATATATATATAAAAGAGGGATTAAATTATACTAAAAAAGTTTTACATCCTTTTTTAGTTATTGATTTTAATTGATTTAAGGGATAAAAGAGACAAGTCAGAAAAAAAAAAAATTTAATCTCATCTTTTGAATATATTGAAATATTCAATGATTAAAAAATATGTACAACTAAAAAAATTTTACATTGATATAATTTAATTCTTCCATATATATACTATAATTTTAAAGTTGAACTTTTACACTTGTTAGGTGTGCATTTTATAATCTTTTTAATAGATTTAATAAATTTAAATATGAAATGGTAATACGATATGAAAATAATGTGTGAGAAAAAATAGTAAGTAGCATGGTTTAAAATTTTCACAAAAACTATATACGAATTTAGTAAAAACCAAAAAATATATTTAGTGTTCATGCATCTCCACAAATTTAATATAATAATTTTTGTGTTTTATATATATTAAACTTGAAACAAATAAAATATAGATACTCGAAATATAAAGTCTATTTCTTGGAATTATTATTTGGTATTAAGTAATTATATTTCTTTTAAAAATTGTTATGATTTTAACAAATGATGTATTTTGTATCTAATAAAAGAAGTTAATATTTGAAAGCAGCTAAATCCGATTATGCAGAAAACTTGTATCGCCGGTCTCCAATTTGTATCCTACTACTAGTAAATTGTAACCTGAACAAATAAAACCACTAAAAAAAGGAAAGAAAAACAAAAACATAATATATAAAGGCAAATATATATATATATATACGTACACAAATACATATGTATATATACATATGTATTACGTATATATGTATATATTTATATATATAGAAAGCGGTTGGTCATTGCCTACAGGCAGTTTCAAGAATTGTCTCCAACGCTGGCTTCCACGATCTCTGCTTGGAATACCTCTCCACCGAATCTGCTGTCTTGTTCACCTGATTTTCTGGAGTCTCGGGTTCAAATGGAGAAATGCAAAACTCAGGGAAAATTTTCACAAGGTTGTTGAAAGTTGCATGTTTAAATGCCTTGGTAGCCTTGCATGTGAGAGAGCTCATTTCCTCAGGTGTAAGTACTGAGTAGAGCAATTCCATAGGAAGAAGGAAGTAGAGCTGGCGTCGCTCTAGCACTTCATCTGCATTTAGACCATGAATTCTGTAACCAACTATTAGACTGCTTGAAGCACACACAAAGTTTCCAGGATTCTCTAGCATTAGATCTGCTGCTTTAACTGGTTTTGTATGTATCTGCATATTCCCTTCTGGTAATAGGACCTTAACTACTCCACTTGAGATGATTGATGGTGCACAAGAAGCTGCATTCCCCATTATCAAGAGAGGTATATTTCTACACTAGATAATGGGCTGAAAATGGGAAGGGAGAGGAATTTTCTAGGAATATGTGGCGCCCGCCCCTTCTCTTTAACATGAAATGAGCCAGGCAGGCAGGCAGGCAGGCAGGCGAGGGGCTTGGTATTGGTGATATATTCATGCAAAGAGGGTGGTTGAGCGACAAAGCTAGGGAAAGATACATTTGTTTTTGCTGTACTTTATTGCTTCACATATCACTATCAGACAACAAGATGCAAGCAAATTTTCATCAGTGAAGGACCTGGTGGAAATTAACGCGTCAATCAGTGGCTCAAAATGAATATAGTTTAGTGCCTCTTTGGCTCTTTGCCTTTCTGGATTTTTTCTTTTTTCATTTAAAATCAAAGTTAAGTAATAATGATTTAACTGCCAGCATCATGTGAAAATGAATTCCTTCAAATCATATTATATAGAGTTAAAATTTAACATTGTGGTAAAAAAATTATATATCTTTAGAACCTCTAGTTGATCTCATACAATTGGATTCACAAGAAATTATACTGACGAACTCAACCGCAAGATATGAGCATGTTCATTAGTATATAGTTAGAATTATTTTATATATCTACACACACTAGTAACAGGGAGCTACAAACCGCAAATTTAACCAATTTACTTGATTTATAAAGTTAGTTCTAAGAGATAACATCTAATAGGTTTGAACTCAAATTTCAATACTTACAATCTATTCTTTTATCCTTTAAATTATGAATTTCTTTTATAAAAAAAAAAAAAAAAAGACAGCTATTTTAATCTTCTATGGTTATTATAATTATGAAAGAATTTTATCAATTAAATCAATTCTATAAGTAATTAACTCTTCCAATTAAAAGGAGATGAGACACATTCATTAGTTTCTTCTATATCTATCCACTCTAACAATTAGAACTTAAAATTTTATCTTAAAAGTTTCATATCTATTGAATCTTCAGTGCGATCGTAGGCACATTATTTTCTATCTGTTAGATGATTTTGCCTTTTTAGGATTGGAGTCTTGAACCTTATCTCTCTTAAAAAATGGTAACAACCGTTTTGATTATTTTTGTATTTGCTAGACCATACCAGTAAGTGAGAAGAAAAGTATGAGAACTACTTCAAATGTTGTTACTAGAATGTATTAAGAAAACACAGGTTGGTGTTGCAGCAGTTACCCTCGTAAGTTTCTTCCAATTTGTTTATTAATTTGGGTTCCAGTAGTGTTTCTTTAATGTTCAATAAATTGTTTATTAAGGTGAGCACATGATGAGGCATGGACCAAAGCTTGTCCAATGTAGCAGCGATCACAAAACGACACCACCAAACTTATGATTGGACATGGAAGCAATTTCTTCGATATTATTCTCTAGGGTTGGTCACCTAACTTATTCATAAGTAGTAAATCATACCTAGAATACAAACAAATCCATTTATTGTATACAAGATGTGAAGGAATATGTTATGGCCGTCAGATATATACATGAACAAGGAAAGAATAGTTAGACTGGCAGTTTTGGATGTCAAATCTTTCTTATGTATTTGCTAGCTTGCAAAAACACCTTTTGTTTAGTGGAAAGCTTGAAAAGAATTCACCGTTCTATTCCAATATATGCTTTCAATTATATAGTTTTTACAAATATTTAATTATTATTATTGATTTTCTCATAACCTTGTCAGTTTTGAGCAAAAAAATTCAAAATTGAAAAACAATACCCTATTGGTGCATGGCAGTTCAATTTTTATTGTCTTTAATTCATATCATAACGTATAGATCTGTGGACCTACTGCTAGATATAGATTAAAGAGAGTTGCTATCAATCTTTTTTGTTTAAGTGTGATTGGTCACCTGATCGAATCTGATTCACAAAAATAGGTTTTAAATTCAGGAATACGGTTACGCGTGAGAAATGTTATAATACTCTCACAACACCCATCCCAAGAATGGTACCAATTTAATTCTAAATTATCTAAGCCTTAAAAATGTTTATGCTTTACCAAAATATTTAGTATTGAGAATTAATTTTAAATTTGTCTCAATAGTTTGGTAACAGTTTAAGATAATTCTTTCACCTCAAGAATATTCATAGGGGCTAGTATCTCACCTTAAAGAGGTTCCGTCGTTGGATTTATTAAGATTTTTATTTGAAAAAAATCAATAAGTCTCCTAATAGTTTGGTAGGACTTATTTTGATACAAATCTCCCAATCATTTGGCAAGATTTTATTGCAAAAAGATTTGTATAAATTTTTAAAAGTTTCATTAAGTCTCATAATAATTTGGTAAGACTTAATTTAAAAATCAATCTTCCTAGAGGACAAAATTATTTTTTATTTTTTTATTATTTTTTGAAAAATCGATTTATGAATTTTCTTATAGTTTGGGGGATTCCATAAAGCTTAAATTCATGAAAAATCCTCCAATAATTGGGTAGAATTCATGAATTTATTTTGTAAGGATTTTTATTTGAAAAAGATTTTTTATTTATCAATTTTCTTTTTGTCTTTTAAACTTATTTGAAAAGGTTTTTATTTATTTATTTATTATTCTTTTTGTTTTCTAGAAAGAAAAGATTCTTTTATTTTTTAAATAAATATTGAGTTACTAAATGCAAATAAATAAAAACCAAAAAAGTAAAATAAAATAAAAACTTAAAAATAATGAAATTAAAAAATAAAATGAAAAGGGAAAAGGGAAACCTGTGATTCAGGTCGGGTCAACATATGGGTCAATATGCTGATCAACAGGTCACGCGCAAATTCTAGGCTGTCCAAAATGGCATCATTTTGGCACCCTATAAAAGCCACTTATCAGTGTTTCACCTCAGACACTCTCTGCTTCTCTCTTTCTAAAACCTAGCTAAGAACATTACTAGAGATTCAACTAAAGATTGAAAAAACCCATCGGTTTCTAAAAAGGTCACCATAATATTCAACCAAACACTGGAAAACCATCGATTTTTGAAAAAGTCACCCGAATTGCACTAAAAAATTCAAACCATGTCAAAAAATTCAATCAAAAAATTTAACCGAAAAATTCATCTTTCATTGAAAAATCCATCCCAAACCTAGATTTTTTCAGAAAAAAACCTAGAATTTCCAAATTTTTTTAGATTTGCCTAGATTTCTTCAAAAATCCTCTATAATCCTAATCCAAACTCCAAAAATCTAAATCTAACACAAAAACTATAAATCGAATCCCAACAATCCAAATCCAAAATTCCAAAACCCCAAAAATCCCAACAACTAAAACCAAAACCCAAAATATTTCCAAAGTTTTTCTTCTCTTTCCAGTAACTATGTCTATTTCTTTGATCCAATGTTCAATTTATAGGCATTCTTATAACAGTTTTTAGGAAATAGACAGAACCGATCCTAGGCTTGAATCTTGGGATTGGATTCTGCCCGAACTTCAATTTAGGATTAGGTTCATTGCAGATTTCCTAGATGGATGAAAAATCCCTTGATTTGGTTCTTGATTGACCCTTTGACCAAATTCAATTCCCCGTTTCAGCTTTTTTGATGGCCTGCTAGGAAAGAAAACAAAAAAGAAATAAATAATAATAATAATAATAATAATAATAATAATAATAATAATAACATACAATATAATATTATACCATAATAATACATTATAGTATAATAATAATAATAATAATATAAATAGCATATTATACCATAGTAATAACAAATAATAATTCTACTAATAATATACAATAATAACAAAAACTAACCTCGGACACATATGGGTGTCTATAGTTACTCATTTTTGCATATATATGTTATACAGGAATAATGCAAAGGCTTAAGCACCCACTTTGTTCTGGTACAAAATCAATAAGCAGTAATGATCGAGATAAAATCGCAAGTCAAAAAATGATCTGGATTGAGTTAAAGATCGAATGACCCAGATGAAACCATGAGTCAAGAAATGATCTAGGTTAAGCCGAGATCGAATGATCGAGATAAAATCATAAGTCTAAAGATAAAGTAACCAGGACTAAGTTGAGATAAAAAATGAATGATCGAGATAAAACCACAAGTCAGGAAAGTGATCTAGAATGAGCCGAGATTGGATGATGGGGATAAAATCATAAGTCTAAAGATAAAGTGATCAGGATTGAGTCGAAGTCAAAAATGAATGATCAAGATAAAATCGTGAGTCAAGAAAATGATTTAGACTAAGCTAAGATCGAATGATCGGGACGAAATTGCAAGTTTGAAAAATGATCTAGACTAAGCCAAGATTAAAAGAGAGTGATAAATGATAATGTGACAATGCAAATGCATGTCCTATCTTGGATGCCAATGTAAACATATTGTATGTAGTGCAGATGTTACTAGATCAATGCCATGAAATTTTAATTGTGGTAATAAGATTCTCAAGACTCCACCATCTCATGTATTCCTTATCAATTTCTCAGCATTTCAGAACAAATTCTATCAACCAATCCGTGTAATTCTTTTCATCTGGTCATAACTCATGGGTTGTGTCAACCAATCTATTACTGAATTCATCACTAGGTCACCTTGTTTGCCTCATTTTCAATAATTCTTTTAGGCTTTTTCCACTTATCTCATCTTAGATTTTTTTCAAAAGAATAGAAAACTCTTTACGAACATTGTCATTCATTTGTTTATCATTATTCAAATTATTAACAGACATGATACATTTCCTTGATTCATTCAAGGGATATGCATTTGGCAAAGATTAAGAAAAATGGGTTTTTATTATTGAAAGACCAAAAGATATGGTCAAGAATAACTTAAAGGTGAACAAAGGTAAAATATTGTGATTATTCAAATAGGACATAACATCTAAAATAATGATTGTTCAGACAATTTTGAACTCAAACTTAGAATCATTTTTCAAAAACACATTTCATTAATATCTTTAATCTTTGAGCTAATCATCCTCATTCTTGGGACCTTTACATGAAATTATTTTTTCAAGTTTTCATTTTTACTTAAACTGCCCTTTTTGGT